CCACCACTAATTAATCAGCCCACTAATTATCCCTAAATTTCCCTAATTAACCCCTAAATTAACCTAAACCTATCTAGAAATGCTAATTAGCCTAATTAGGGTTTAGGGTTAATACTCACTTAATTCCTAAGCTCCCAAACAAAGCTGAACAGGTGGGAGGAAACGGGCGGCCCGAGCTGGTTCACGGCGGTCTAGCGGCGGCGACAATCGACCGCCCTAGCGGCGGTGAACGGCGGCGACGGTCGGCGGTTGTGGCTGATCTACCACGGCTAAGGGGGGCTGGTGGTGATGGTGGCGAGACGGAATGAGAGGGAGAGAGACGAGGGTGGCGGTGGTGGTGAGCATGAGGTGGATGGGCGGTCGGCGGTGGCACCGGCGAGCGGCGGCGGTAGCGTGGGGCTGCTCTAGCGAGGCTGCTCTTTCTCACGGCTAGGAGGAGAAGGAGAGAATGGGAATGGGCGTGAGAGAGGGAGATGACCGGCCAATGAGTGAGAATGAGAGGAGAGAGAGAGATTGAGGGAGAGTTAGAGAGAAAGATGAGTGGAGTGGTTGAACAACTTCCCAAAAATTACCATCTTGCCCTTTCCACTCACAACATGATCCAATGGCCCACATTTGATCATCAAACTCATCCAATGGCTTAAAAAGGTCAACCCCACTATCTCAAAGGGCATATTGGTCCATAATTTTCGATCACAAGGGGGGGCTGAAAATGTCCATTTTATCCTCCAATAATTCCTCTAAAATTCGGATCCAAGGCTTAGGGCATAAGGGCAATTTGGTAATTTTCCGGTCCCGAGCCAAATTTTCAATTTTTGACCCTACCGATCCCAAATATAATTGGCCACACTAATACGACGTTGTCCTTGTGAAAATAGTCGCGTACGTCCACGAAATTCGACACCGAAGTCCGGATTCAATTCCACGATCGATTTCGCTCAATTGCGATTTTTAGCGTCTCTCACTAACGGGTGGCTATTTAGAGGTTACGCGTATCGACTTAGGATTGCTCGAGTCGTGACGATCTCGATCTCCCAGAGAACACGAGGATTTATCACTAGTTCCGGGGGTCGCGATCGTTTGGAACAAGTTCAGGAGTGTTAGCCACGCGTACTCTCGGTCGTGCGGAATCACCCGCGATTCGATCGTACGTCGTTGGCCAAACCAAATCCGTCACCCTCCTTAGATCGGCCCACATTGGCCCAAAATATTTCTTTGTCGTTTCTCGGAAATCGGGGCTCAATTCACGGTCGAGTTCTTGGGTTCACGTACCGTTTTCCTAGTTAGCCATTCCCTATTGGTCAGTATCTCGAGAATAATCAGTTTCGGGCGAGATTTACTAAAACGAAATGAGAAATACATATCCATTTCATTGATCACGAAAGTGGGTCGAATTCAAGACGTTACACTATATTTTGATTGGCTTTTCATCCCTATGTATCTATAGCTGGTCAATCATCCACTAGAATATTGGATCAACCCACAACGATGGAAGGCCATGAGTTCGAACACCTATTTTGACTTAATATTATAAATTAGAAGGTTAGGATTGTAATCAACGGTTTCACCATGCATATTTACAATAAATATGCATATCAGATTAACATATGTAGGCCACTCCAAAAGGATTCTCATAACAAATGAGAATTTGGCCATTAAATCATAAAAATCAACATGAGCCAACACCAATTAAAAGCACGAAAATGTTTAAGGATTGGCTCTGATACCACTGTTGGGATTTTGGGAGAAAACATGCATAGGAAAAAGTAAATAAAAAAAATCGCAGCGAAAGCAATAACCCATGCATGTATATCTCTGAAACATTGTCCGTGCATTTCAATAAGAAGCACGTAGAAATTAGGGGTGTGCAACCGGACCAGGTTTACCCGGAAACCGGACCGACCCACCCGAAAAATAGGTCCGGGTACCGGTTCTTGTTAGAACCGATCTGGTTTCCGGTTCCAAGTAAAAACCGACCCGGACCGGTTTTAGAACCGGTTTTAAGATAATGTAAAAAAAAAAAACCCTAAATGACGATCACGTTACCTTACCTCTCTTCTCTCTTCGCCGCTCCTCTGTATCACTTCTCTCTTCGCCGCTCCTCTGTCTCAGTTCTTTCTTCGCCGCAAGAACGCAATTACGCAACCGAGGAGGCTCCTCGTTTCGCCCGTCCGGCTCTCACCGATCCGTGAGTCCTCCGTTCCCTCAGTCTCTCTTCTTCGTCTTTGTTGCAAGGTCAGATGGTTTCGAGCTCGAGCTCTGAATCTATTCTCGTGTTGGTGAAATGTTCGAGTTCGAGTTTGAGGTTTTGCGTTCGAGTTTTAGGGGTTTTTCGCCGCGGGCTTGGGTTGGTGTAGAAGATTCTCTGAATTTTGATGATCAGTGGAGGACTTGAGGGAAGAGACGCCATCTGATCTTGCGGAATCCAGCTTGTCTGAGTTTTTTTTTTTGAAACTTTTATCTCTTACTTCTTGGACTTCTGAGTTTGTTTAATGATAGAATATAAGCGTTGGTTGCATACCTGATTTTAGTGGTTGGCCTCAACTCGAAACTCTATATGTTGCAAGCTCCTTAAAGATCAGTGATTTTTTTGTATTTGAGTTGAGAACCCGCTTAAGTTAACCTGATATGTTCATCAGGAGTCCCCCTTTGTTCATTCTTGTCGTTCTTTTGGTTTAGATGAAGAACTTAAATTCACTAAAAATAAATTTCGCCCTTTTTATCCAATATAGAAAAGAAAAGAACTCGTGCTTGTTAGCATGCAGATCGCTAACATTTTATGCTTGCTGCTTGTAATTTATGAATAGGAAGGGAATAATTCGTCACATATCAGTTTAGCATCGTAGACAAGAACAGTGATATTTGATCCTAGAATATAGTTTAGCATCGTAGACAAGAAAAAGTTTGCAATCGCACCAATAAGTCAAAGAATGGTCCATCTGTGTAGTTATATGTTGCAAGTGCCTGCTGGATTTACTACCAAATCTTGCGTAGTTGGATGGTTCAGCTTCAGGGAGTCTTTATCAGTTCGTACTCACGATTATGAGTTCAATCATGCAGAAGCAACTCAGCAATGGAACCACAGTGTCTAATGGCCTCCTAGTTCTAGGATAGTCCTTGGACCAAAAAATTGGCAAGTTCTTTAAGTCATGGTCAATCACTTTGGAAACGATTGAAGTCTTCTTTTCATACCATTCAAGTGTATACTCGGACACTTGAATGGTATGAAAAGAATCCTGTCATTGTTGTATAATTTGTTTTCAGTAGAATCCTGACATTGTTGAATAATTTGATTTTAGTTGATGGATCAAGACAAAGACATATCAATTGAAGTGGATAGATATAATGAAATGAGTCCGCTCATGAAATTGCCATTCCAAGGAGCTGCTGAAGTGGATTCTACGACCGTGAGTGCGACAAACAAGGTGGGTGTATCTAACTCCCGTCCTCATCTTGGTAAAAAGCGAGCTAATCAATCGGAGGCCTGGGATAATTTTTCGAGAATTATAGATGAGAAAACACAAAAACCAACTAGAGTAAAGTGCATTCACTGTGGGACTGAGTATAATTATTCTGTTGATCATGGAACGTCTACTAAAGCACTTGACAAAGTGCAAAAAGTATCCTCATGCAGATAAGAAGCAAATGTTGTTTGCACCACGTAACAAAGATGTGGTTGGCGAGGTAGGGGAAAATACTAGTGGTGGTAGTGTCTTAACAACGTGGAAGTTTGATCAAGAACGTTCTAGGCACATGCTTGCTCGGATGATTATTATTGATGAACAACCTTTTTCCACGGTTGAGCGTGTCGATTTTCGTGATTTTGTCACTGAATTACAGCCTCTTTTCCAACATTTATCACGATTTACGGTGGCTAGAGATTGTATGAAGTTGTATCTGAGTGAAAAAACTTGTTTGAAAGCTTACTTTGGTAAGCTTAATTCTAGGATTGCACTTACAACTGATATGTGGAGTTCCATCCAAAACTTGAACTATTTATGTCTCACTGCACATTTTATTGATGAAAACTGGAAGTTGCATAAAAGAATCATCAATTTTGTGGTGATGCATAGTCACAAGGGTAGGGAGATTGGGAAAATGGTGGAGAAGTGCATTTACGAGTGGGGAATAGAAAATAAGGTGTCCACAATAACCGTGGATAATGCTAGTTCCAATGATGTGGCCATTGATTATATGAAGGAAAAATTTTCAAGGGAAAGGCTTTTGATCTTGAGTGGTGATGTTTTACATATGAGGTGCACAGCTCATATATTAAACTTGATTGTCCGAGATGGATTGAATGAGGTGCGCGATTCTATTGAACGTATCCAAAATGTAGTTAGGTATGTGAGGAGTTGTCCAATGAGAGCCAAAATATTTCAATCTTGTATTGAGAATGGGAGAATCACATACAAGGGTTCAGTTTGTCTTGATGTTGCCACTAGATGGAATTCCACTTACGTAATATTAGACACCGCCATAAAGTTCAGGAAAGCTTTTGAAAAGATGGAAGAAGATGATTCATCTTTCTTAAGGGAGATTGACAATGACCCTCCTCAAAATGAAGATTGGGAAAATGCTATCATTCTTTCTAAATTTCTGAAACAGTTTTATAATGCCACCAAACGGATGTCGGGGAGTTCATATGTTACTTCAAATGATTACTTTGAAAGTATAGCTTTTTTGTATAAATATTTGAATCATGCGGCGAATTCTTTGGTCCCTAAGCTTCAAGCTATGGGTTTAAAAATGAAGGAGAAGTTTGACAAATATTATGGGAGTTTGGATAAAATAAACATGATGGTGTTGATTGCGGTTGCGTTGGATCCCACAAAAAGTTAAATTATGTGAAGTTCTGTTACGGACAAATTTATGATGATGAAGCAAAAATTGATAAGATGCATGATAAGGTGAAGCTTGCCTTGGAGCGTTTGTATAAATTTTATGAGCAATCCCTTGTTGGTTCTAGTAAACAAAATTTTGGTGCTTCAAGCGTAAGTACTAGTAGTAGTGGTTCCAATGTCAATACTAATAACAATGAAGGTGACAATGAGGATGACATCCAAGCTTGGCGACAAAGCTTTCTTCACGCGAAGAAAACAGTGCTTGATGAAAACAAATCTGAGCTTGATCGGTATCTTGAAGCCGAAAGTGAAGATGTCATAAATCTTGACCTTTTGATGTGGTGGAAGAGTACTGGGTCAAAGTATAAAATCTTATCTTTGATGGCTCGGGATGTTTTGTCAATTCCCGTGACTACCGTTGCTTCGGAGTCGACTTTTAGTACATCGGGACGTGTGCTTGACGGCTTTCGAAGTTCTTTGACTCCTAGAGTGGTGGAAGGTTTGATTTGCACTCAAGATTGGTTGAGAGCCGTTCGCGTGCCAATTAATGTTGAGGAGTGCATTGAGAATGCGGAAAAGTTTGAGTCAGGTAAGTCGTTTAAATTTTTTTCTATTTTGTAATTCATTCACATATTATCTATTGAGTGAATATTTTATTTAATCTCTTTTTGGGTTTTTAGATTTGGATTGTCTTACCGAGGACATTATCATTGGTAAATAGACTTCCTTTTGTGGAAGCTCCGATTTTGTGGTGAGTAAATAGACTTTATTAATCGGCATATTTGCATTTGTCTTTGGAGCATGGTTTCTTGTTGATTTTTCTTTGTGTATGAATTTCAGGATTTTTCTTAGAGATTGAACCCATTGAAGGTAACATAGCTGGATTCAGGCCACCTCCAAAAGGTCAGTGTATATATTTAGATATATGTCTTGATGTTAGGTCTATTTTAGTCAAAAAGAAAAAGACAGCAAACCTATAACTCTCCCTCAAGTGGGCAATCACCAAGATCCCATATCCTAATCACTACTTTGTATATTCATTAGTTTTCAGTTGGAGCTTTTTGTCCTCTCGTAAGGCAGGGAAGGATGCTGGAGCTTTTTGTCCACTTTTTTTTAATTCTTATGGCATGGGACAATTGTTTATCAGATTCTGATGTGTGGATTGGAGCCTTAGGATTTTTGGAAACAGAAGTAAGGAGTTCTCTCATCATGGCGCAAAATAAAGAGCTAAACATGTTGAACAGATTCCTGAAAATGTGACTCTTAAAGATTTATGCGATTAGACTATGTCTTGGCACATAGTGCTTTTGGATTGTTGATTTTGATGGATTGTAATTTCAATTGCCCATTTTAGGGATTGTTACTTTTGGCGAATAGTGGTTTTTATTATTCATCTTTTATTTTGAATCGTTTCATTACTACATTATTATTTTGCTAGAAAAAAATGAAACCAGAAAAAAGAAAAAAAAAAAATAGGCTCTCGGGTAGACCCTGAAACTGGACCGGAAAAATAGGGTCGGTTCCAAAACAGGGTCTAGGGAAAACAGGGTCGGTTTCAGGTTTCAAAAATTGGGAACGGATTATAATAGGGTTGGTTTCAAGTTCCGGGTCTGGACCCAACCCACCTTGGAACCGATCACCCCTAGTAGAAATGAAGAAGGAGGCTAATCGCATTACCCTTGTACCATACTAAAAACAATCTGGTTCTTATGTCTTCAGTTCCAAACCGTACATGTACTCTCTCCTTTTAAGCTGTCTAAAGTAATCTCATTATGATGGTCTTCAGTTGTAGCCTCACAAATGTCAGACCTCTAGTTCAGACACACCACCAATCACGGGTCAAACGGTAGAGAGAAATTCAAGCGAGTTCAACACATAAATTGTGCTAGCAATTGTTCTTGTGTGTGAATTTTTGATTGGCGTCAATCATCACTAATAATCAATCTCATATCCAATTTATTAAACCAATTTGGCCATTAACTCTAAAACCATTTCAGAGGACTAATTCGGCTGCTGAGTCTGAACCCATTTCAAAGTCCGAATATGGACATTGAAATCACACGGGCACACTTCTCCAATTTATTATCTGAACCCCGTGTAAACGATGCCTCAGGGCATTTCAGTGATCACAAGCTCGAAGATGTCTATGAAGCTTCACGCGATTCACATATTCTGCCATGACTTAATATGCACAAGATCATCGCCAACTCAACGACATTCGAAACACCAATTGAATCCACATTATTTACTCAATCCAACATAACAACATGCTCAATTTGCCACTCAAGGTAACTCAGCCACGGTCCACAATTTGGCGCACATAAATTATACTTTTAAGTCATTGAAATCACACATGTCTATGGCCCATATTGGCTCACGTTACTCGGCCAATCACACAATCACCATGGCACCATAAAATCAAGTCATAATGCAGGCCACACTACCTATCATAAAATTAGCCACTTGCACATATCATCAATCTTTAAATTTAACATATGAACGCACGTTATATCATAGGCCACCGTCCGCACCTTGGCCGACCACAATAAAGTCCTACAATCATGCACATCACAATCCACCATCCAAGCACCAACCTAGCACAACATGGCCCATCAAGCCGACACCATGCAGCCTTTGAACCAACCGCATTCCATCTCTAATTCACCCTTGAATAGCCATACTTTCCCGAGCCTAATCCACCCTATGGTCAGTCCTACTAATGTCACCACATAACCCCTAAAATCTCACCAATAACCCCTAAACTTGTCTAATAATGCACATAGGCCTAAATAGGGTTTAGGGTTTCCACTTACACAAGTCCTAAGCTTGAAATGATGGCTGGACAAAAGAGGAGGGTGGCCGAATAGCAGCTGGGCCACGCCGGACCAGTAGGGACTCCGACGGCTCACGGTCAAGGCTGGCCGGTTGGTGATGGTGTTGGCGCCGAAGATGAAAGAGAGAAAAGAAAAGAATGAGGTGGCCGAGTGGGTTGAGGGCCGGCCGGACGAAGGCCAGCAACGGCGGTGGCATGCGGCTCCGACGGTGGCAGCACGGCCGCGGCTGGTGGGCTGCTTCGGCTGGCTGGCTGGCTTCTCGTGAATAAGGAGGAGAAAAGAGAATGGAAAGAATGAGGGGGAGTGTCTCGGCCAGACCAGGGGGAAAATGAGAAGAGAGAGAGAGTTTATCACAATTATTGGGGGGAATTAGGTATGCTACCCCATCAATAAAGTCAAGGCTGCCCCACCCCACCCACTAACTCATCTAATGGCCATAAATTAATCTCTAACCATCCTTATCACAAATCAAAGGCCAAGATTGCATCTTGCATAAAATATCTAGGGACAAGGTGGGGAATAAGCAAGGGAGATGGGGGCAGCTTGGTCTTTCATTTTTAGCAGCCAAGGGGCTTTATAAAGTCCAAATTAACCTCCCATAATTCGAAATAAGGCATAGGGCTTAAGGGCAAAACGGTAATTTTCCACTCCCGGCCCAAAATTCAATTTTTCGACCAAACCAATCCCAAATTTGATTGGCCACACTAATACGACGTTGTCCTTAAAAATTAGTCATATACGTCCGTGAAATTCGACACTTAAGTTCGGAATCAACTCAACAATCAATTTCACTCAAATGCGATTTTAGCGTCTCTTACTAACGGGTGGCTTTTTAGGGGTTACGCGTATCGACCTAGGGTTACTCGAGCCATGGTGGCCTTGATTACCAAGAAAATGTGAGGGTCCATCACTAGTTCCGGAGGTCGCGATCGTTCGGAATAAGTTTAGGATCGTTCGTTACGCACACAATTGATCATGCGGAATCACCCGCGATCCGATCGTACGTGTCACATCCTCAATTTCAGTCCCTGGGAAAATGGCTATGGTTTAAGTTTGGCGGTTTTCCATTTGGAACTAATATTTTTACTCTTGTTTTGGAAAACCGTATTTCGGATCCTTGGTACCCCTTCGTTTTGTTATTTTTGGGGAGACTTTTTTGGTCCGAATTTTCAAACACTTTCTTCTTTAAAGTTGTTCCAAACATCTTGAAGTTATACATACTTTAATTTCAGAATTTTTGGAATTGATATGAGTGGCACGATGGCCTATTTTCCGACCGTGTGAAACTGCCCAGAATGGGTATTTCGGTGATGTTCACACCGTATTTATTTTCTACACGCTTTTCTGGGCCGATTTTGGAAAATTTTCCTTCATAAAAGTTGTTTAGAACGTCCTTTTCTATAACTCATATAAATTTGGAAATTTTCCGAGATGATTTGGATTCTGGACAGAGCTTACTTTGAGAAACAAGAATGCTGTTCCAGCGAACTGTTTTTAGTCTGTCTTTGAGCTACTAAAAATAGTGTTTACAGAGAGATTTAGATTTTATATTCTTCATGAAAAGTGTTTGTTAAGGCCTTGTTTATGACATATACAAATTTGAGAATTTTCGGAGTCCATTTACTATATTTTCAAGTCCAATTTCGTGAACAGTGCAAAGCTGTCCGGTTTTGTCAGATTTCAAAGATTCAGCATTTTCTATACGAGAACGTTGGAATTTGGACTTGGTGTCTTTTGGTGATTTAAAATACAAGTTCTGAGCTTTCAAATGAGATATTTTATGGTTTGATTGGAGGCCGTCTCAGGGGGAAAACGAGAGTGAGCCGAGAGAGAGCCGAGAGAGGGAAAGGCAGAGAGAAATCATTAGTGGCTTGGATTCATTGTGCTCTCTTCATCGTGATCCTTTGGCTATAGTTCATTAATGAACTTTAATGCTATCTATCATGACCTTAGACTTTGGAGGTCTCTTCATCATGACAAGCATTAATAGTCTTGAGTGAGGAGCAAGTTTGGGGTTTGATAAATTGAAGAGGCCATTCGGCCAAGAGAGAAAGAGAGGGAGTAGCCGTGAGGGGAGAGAGAGAGAGAGAGAGAGAGAGAGAGAGAGAGAGAGAGAGAGAGAGAGAGAAAGAGATAATGTTAGCCTCTTCATCATTTTAGTCCATTAAGAGCAATTAATGGCATTAAATTCAAGCCATCATGACTTTTGACTATTGTGCACATTAATACTTGGCTTCTTCTCCAAGCCTATTTGTCTATAAGGAAGCAAGAAGCCTCACGTGAAGCCCCTCCCCTTCTCCTCTCTCACGCCAACCTCGCCATCATCTTCGTCTTCCTTTGTTTCTTGTTTTTCTCACTTTGGCCGAGAAGCTCACACCCAAAACAATCCCGAACCGGCCCGTGTCTCTTCTCGTTCCTACCCAAGAGCCCACGGTTTAGCCTTCGTAGGCCTAGGTTTGTTCGGCCAAGCAAGAAGGAAGCAAGGAGAAAGCCCGAAATTTCCCGAGCTCGCCCGTCTCGAACCCCATTCTCTAGTTTTGTTTGTCGTTGAGTAAGTGAATTCCCTAATATCGGGAATGGAAGTTGCGATACGTTGTAACATGGGTTGGTTGGCCGTTTCCTGGTTTCATGGTTGTTTGTTGTTTCTCATCTAATGATGTTCACGTGTGATACTCACGTTTGATGTTTGTTTGGTTGGTTTCGTAGCATGACTTTGCTATTTGAAATGCCATTGATGCCGGTACGGTAAGAATTGACTTGTGTGAACGACGATTGTCTCGTCCTCGCTTGATATTAGTGTTTTCACTTACTGAGTCTCCCCAACTCATCCCCCGTTGTTTTCCTTTTTTTTCAGGTCCGTAGGATGGCATCTCCCCCAGCTCGCGTTGGCAATCCCGTGGAGCAGCGAGCCGAAGTGCTCACCGTGATAGATGTCAGAGAAGACCGTTCCTATCGCCGAATCACGATGCTTGTGACGATTCGATGAGGGCCTAACGGACTTGGTGCCTCATCCGTGCATAGGTTCAATGGTGCTTTGGCGGTGCGGGCGGGTCGGCTCCGGGATAAAGCCACGGGTGGGATGTGAGATGGCCAGGCGGACGGGACCGGGGTGAAGGTGAAGAAGCGAGGAGCGAGAAGCCGTAGTGGGTATAGGATAACCCAAGTCAAAATTTGTTATTCATAGTCCGCTATGAAAATATGTGTTATCTGCCATGGACGAAGGGCCTGTATTTAATATGTTTGCATGCATTGTAAACATAAAGTTTATTCATGATGCTGTTTGTCTTATTTCCGCTGTGTATATTGATTGTGATTGTCCCGCGATATGCTTCCGCCTGTGTGTAACGAAATATAATAATGAACGGGACGTTGCATGAATGACCCCGAGGTAGGGGC